GTTGATGGAGAGTCTGTCCAGTTCAGGCGCAAAGCTCTGCGAGTCTCACGTATCCGCTCTCCATCAGTCCTGCCGGGCCATCCAGTAGGGGGCGCTGGAATGATTAATGAACAGGACAGGAGGACAAGTGCTGCCTGGAGCAACCGCTGTCTGCCACCATCCACTGAATAATTAGATAACTGCGGCGAAGCGGGCTCCCAATCAGGGAGAGCTTTGGTAGGTGACCTGCTAAGCTAGTCCCAGAGAGTCAGGGCGTCAGGCCCACGCTCCCCCACTTTGGGCCTCTCTAGCTCCTCTGCTGCTGGGCCTAAAATAGTGACAGTCCCCTGGACCCTGAGAGCTGGGGAGAAGGCTATGCACGTTGACAGCTGTGGGTACCCTGTATCCAGGGCAGCAGTCAGAGGGAGGGTTGACGTACATGTTGCCAAAAACCTACCAGTGTTTGCAACAAAAGCACAAACTCCTGGCAAGAAGTCGGGAGGCTTTCTTGATCACAAGTGGTATCTCCTAAGCACTTTAATTACAGAGGATTAGCAGGAAGTGCAGTGCTGGGCTCAAGGAATAATGACACAAAGAAACGAAGCAGAGAAACCCAATTTCCTTCCTTTAAGGGGAAAAAAATTATCCATTTATTTAAATGAATTACAAAGGAGAGAATGGAGTGTGGCATTTCCCTCAGCCCGGAATTCAGTGGATTTTTAAAGAGCTGCATATCTCCTTGGTCAGACCAGAAGCTGGGATCTGCAGCCTGTCTGCAGAAATTGAACTGCAGGCTCAGAAGTTCATTAAGATTCAGGAGCCTTCCCCCTGGACAAATGGCTCACTTATCCAGCCCCTTCTCTGCTGCTTCTCCTTGCGGGCTGTTGCCTGGCTTAGTTCATATTGTACATTCAGCACCTCTAGTTACCCAGAAATTGCATGCAAAGTTGTGAAATAGAAAAGCAGTGGGCCATGTGACCCCATCAGTTCTGCCTGGGGTTGCATCATCCTTGACTTGTAGTGTTCAGGGGCTGGGCTGGGAGGTTTGCTTACAGAAAGACCAGAGGGGGGCTTCCCTGGTGGTGCAGTGGTTGAGAGTCCGCCTGCCGATGCAGGGGACACGGGTTCATGCCCTTGGAAGATCCCACATGCCACGGAGCGGCTGGGCCCGTGAGCCATGGCCGCTGAGCCTGCGCGTCCGGAGCCTGTGCTCCGCAACGGGAGAGGCCACAGCAGTGAGAGGCCCGTGTACCGCAAAAAAAAAAAAAAAAAAGAAAGAAAGACCAGAGGGCCCAGACACCTACCAAAAGTTGCAGTTTGAATACATGCTCTTAGCACACCTGCTGTGTAAGTGGGGCAAATCTATAGTAATGAATGGAACTGAAATAAGATTGGAGACATTCATGATGAACAAGAAAATTGCCAGAATGGAATGTAGACAGAAGTGATGGTTATTGTCATACACGCAATGACTATGTGTGAGACTTGATGGGTTTTACTAACAGGAGCTTTTTTTTTTTTTTTTTTGCGCTACGCGGGCCTCTCACTGTTGTGGCCTCTCCCGTTGCGGAGCACAGGCTCCGGATGCGCAGGCTCAGCGGCCATGGCTCACAGGCCCAGCCGCTCTGCGGCATGTGGGATCTTCCCGGACCGGGGCACGAACCCATGTCCCCTGCATCGGCAGGCAGACTCTCACCCACTGTGCCACCAGGGAAGCCCCTAACAGGAGCATTTTAAGTGCCCAGCACTTAATACCCAGCTCCATCTGCAGTGATTCCCCCATGGCATCCTGTTTTTGAGTCCAGGGCAAGGAGTTCTAAAACCTTATCATTCACACCGTGATTGGAAAATGCTAGGATATCATGATTCAGACTGTGGCAATACAGAGAAGAGGAGGAGAAAAAGGAGTCAGGCGCCTACCCTGTGCTCAGCACTTCACATGTCAATTCATTTCATTCCCACAACAGTCCCATGAGATAGGTGATGTTGTCCCTAATATACAGGTGAGAAAACTGAGGTTCCGAGAAGTTTGACTGTGTATAGGAGGCAATACTTGGCATAATGGAAAAAGTATGGGTTTTGGAGTCAGAGGTGGGATCAGAGCCTAGCCTTTCCACCCGCAATTTCTGTAGCATCTGTTTTCTCATCTATAAAATCTGGACGCCTATGCACTGGCCTGTTGGGAGGATTAAATAAGATACCATAGATAACAGCACAGCCTTAGCATACCATAGACCCTCAGGAAGAGGCAGGTACCATTGTATGACCTCAGAGAGAAGACCAAGATTTGCACCTTGAGGGGTCAGCCTCACGCCAACCTTCCACCGTGACACCCGCCCCCTCCCCGGCCTCCGGATCCACACCTGAGTACTATTCTTAAGTGATAAGAACAAGCCCAGCTGGGACACAGTGCAAGCCCATCCAATGAGTCCAGCGCCCTAGGAATTCTTTACCTTTCAGCTTTGCCCACTGCAGGTCAGTTCCCATGCCTCAGCAGACACGGCTGAGATAAGCAGGAGGGTGACCTCACTCGGTATGCACAGTGTAGATTATTCTCTGAGCATTTCTGTATGTTTGAAATCCTTTATGTAAAATTTTACAATCCCTTTCCCCAAAATTGCATGACTGAGATTTCTTCAGGCCTGAACATTGATTGGATGAAGAGGGCATGACACAGAGAGGAATTTAAAAATAACCCTGAATATAGCATCAGGATTTGCCACATCGTATTACAAAAATCTCCTGTCTCTGTGTCTGTGTGCCCTGCTCCTTTATGTATTATGTGTCTTCTGCATCCCCAGTGCCTAGCTCAGTGCCTGGCTCATCGAGTAGGTGAAGTAGCAACGCAGTAACAAAGAGCTGGTAAGGGAGCAAATGCTGACCATTTCCCCGGGATTTGAGCCTCTAGAAATATGTGTGTGGCTTCAACTTGACTTCTGCTCACTTCAGAACTCTAGGGCAAGCAGTCCATTCCCACAAGTACCCCGCTCGGCCCCGGGGTGGGGCTGAGCTGGGCTGAGCCCTAGAAATGTCCATGTTCAATGACTTAGGAGGTGGGTTAAAGGGGCACTGCTGCCTGTTTCCCACAGAGACGCACTTTCATCCCTTGAAACCATCATTTCTCTGCACTCAATGGGATCCCAAATAACATGTTTCAAACAAGTCTTTTATCACTGTTGCCCCTTGGAACACATTTCAAATGCTGGCCATTAAAAACAGGCCGTTTCACAGGCTTCTAATGATGACGCTAATAACTGTGGGTTTTTGTCTCTAAGAGTCCTGACGGGCAAGGCTCAAGGAGTAAATTATGGAGCTAACTTTTATGTACAGGGTTTATTGATCTGTGAGCTTCAAGGGAACTACACCAGCCCCCCCCAAAGCTTGGCAGTCCAGATTACCTTTTCATCTAAGTAATTGGGCCACCTGGGTACAGTTAATTTTCTATTTATATTAACAGGAAGACAAAGAACATGATGTGCCAGTTCTGTAATAAAGTAACGGACGTATCAAAATATTCTACCTGGTAATTATAAATAAATTGAGTTTTCCCATGACCCGCTGAGGGTTATGTTGCTAATTCATTGTGCATTTTATCATAATTTGTCACGAGAAGATTCCATGCTGCCACGTACACTTGTGTCTCCAGAGTACGTAAAGGTGCTCCATCATAAAGTATCCAACTGTCTTAATCCCTGTCATTTCCTGCTTTTGTTTCTTAACAGGTGAAAGTCATGCTTCGCATTTGTTCCACGTTGGCTCGCGATACCTCGGAATCCAGCTCTTTCTTAAAGGTGGACCCACGAAAGAAGCAGATCACCTTGTATGACCCCCTGACATGTGGAGGTCTAAATGCCTTCCAAAAGAGAGGGAACCAAGTTCCTCCTAAGATGTTTGCCTTTGATGCGGTTTTTCCACAAGATGCTTCTCAGGTGGGTACAACCCCTTCTCAGGCTCAGGCGATATTGATTAGTTTCAAGAAGCTTTAACTATTCACTAGGACCCGTGAGCTGGGAGGGTATCTTCCAGAGCACCCTGATGGGTCACTTCCACTGTCTACACAACAACTTTCGGGAGCCAATTTGAGTTCCATTGAATAGTTCAGTCCTTTTGAATCGCTGGTGTCACACCTTGGGCAGGATTGTTGTGCCAGGATTTCAACAAAACGTACTCTTGGAGAGAAGGAAGAGAGAGCCAATCAGTGGATGGCAAACAGAAGCAGGAAGAGAGCAGGCAGAATTGGAAGTTTCGGGTACAGCTGCATCGAGATGCTGGCCACTGGTCCATTAAGACCCCACTCCTGCCTGGGCTTCAGGGTGTGAGCATGTAAGAAGGGGAAAGATGTTTCAAGGAGCTGGGTTAGAATTAGGCAGGGTTTGGGACTTCCCTGGCGATCCAGTGGTGAAGACTTCGCCTTCCAATTCGATCCCTGGTCAGGGAGCCAAGATCCCACATACCTCTTGGCCAAAAAACCAAAACATAAAACAGAAGCAATATTGTAACAAATTTAATAAAGACTTTAAAAATGGTCCACATCAAAAAAAAAATTTAGAAAAAAAAAAGAATTAGGCAGGGTTCTAGGGCTCCATAGAGGGCAAGCCCTACTGAGGACCTGGAGTGCTAGGCAGGGAAACTGAGGCTGACGTGCAGTCCTGTGGCCTGCGTCAGGGGAGTGGAGAGGAAGAAGAGAGGCTGGGATAGCTGGTGTGTTGGTTAGCTATTGCTGCATTGGAAACCACCCTAAGCCTAGTGGATTAAAACCATAAGTATTTATTATTGCTCATGAGTCTGGAGGTCAGCTGAGCATTCCTCTGCTCCTAGCTCGGCTCACCTGTGTGTCAGTGATCAGCTCTGGGTTGGGTCGGCAGCTCTACTGATCTTGGCTGGATGCTATCACATGTTTGAGGGTTGGCTAGTTTTAGGCTGGTCCAGAATGGCCTTGGCCAGGTCACCTGGTCTGTCTTCCATGTTGTCTCTTATCAACCAGCAGGCTGTCTTGGGCTTCCTCTCAAGGCAACGAGAGGATCCAAGCTTGCAGGCCTCTTGAGGTCTAGGCTCGGAATTGACACATCATCACTTCTGCTGAATGCGACTGGTCCAAATTCGAGGAGTGGGGAAGAGGCTCTGTCTCTTGATTGGAGGAGCTGTGAAGTCACATTGCAAGGGGCATGCACACAGGGAGGGGTGGAGAATTGTGGCCATTTTTGTTAGTCTGTTATGAGTATAATTTGGAGGCTTCTTGGGGGACCAGGGTGCCAAGATTCCTTAACCAAGCCTCCTGGAACCAATCCCAATAGAACAGATGTGTACTAGAAGATTCACTTACACCATCTGGTGCAATTCATCTGCAATGAATTGGTGCAACTGGATCTTCTAGTAGACATCTATAACCCAGGTTATAGGTGTACAGTGGCCTACTTTGCCTGCATTTTGGCATCAGACACCTGCATCTTCCTGATAAATTTCCAGCACTTCCCAAGATTTAAACAAAACAGTGTGCACTCGGGTAACCAATAGCCTAGAGAAGAACCTGAAGACAGGGTGCTGATGGGTACCATTTGCAGCTCTTGCTAATTTCCTCCATGTGGTATCTGAGTATAGGAAGTAGCGATGTTCATACAGACACCATAGGCACTCAGCACGTATTATAGGCTCCATTCATTAGCAAGCTAAGCGTGTGGTTTTCCCAAAGAGTTTTACCATGAGAAGACAAAGTACTCTATGAATAAGTTCTGTAGGTTTTCTCCTCGTTACATTTTTTGTGTGTTGTACCACCCAGTGGGGTCACTAATCTAACCCTGACATTGGGTCTAATAAATGGCCTACAAGTAATTTAATTAACACAGTTAAAACTTTTCAAAAGCGAATCCCCCTAAGTCGTAAGAATTCCAAAGCAAACCCTAAATTAAGTGTGGACTATTAATGAGTTTTAGATTTATTCCGGAAAAGGGAGCCATTTTTATTGCTAGTCTTTGCTTACATTTCACACTTGGTTCCAGAGCTCATGTGCTCACTCTTACAGTTGCTATTGCTTCAGAATGCTTGCTTTTGTTACATTTCCAATATAATAAATTACATTTCTATATAAATTTGTAGTTTTCAAGAAGTTTCATATACATTAACCCATTCTACTCTTCCTGGAATTCTGTGGTATTGAAAAGGGAGGTAGTGCTGTTTTCGCATTACAGACAAGGAAACTGAGACTCAAACATTCAGTCTCTCATTCACAGACTCTTTCCTGAGTGGACATCTGTCCTGGAGTCTTCCTATTAACCAATCCGCGTCCTGCTCAGGATGGTGTTGTATCTTTGCCCTCTCGCCATTTTATCCACTAGCTACTAGCAGTGTGTCCTTGGGCAAGTCACTTTACCTCTCTGGGCCTCAGCGTCTTCATCCATAAAATGAAGACAAGTTCAAAATGTGCCTCATTGGGCTGCTGTGATTCACTGTGTGGATACACGTGAGGTGCTTAGAGCAGAGGCAGAACACAGTGAGTGCGCAACAAATGCTACTGTTTTTACCATGCTGTTGTCATTGTTCATAGTAATATCACGCTGCCGGCGTGTTCAGCCTCAGCCCCTGGGAAGGAGCACCCTCTGAGCCTCCGGAGCAGGAAAGCAGGAAAGCGTACAGAATGGGCCTCTGCTCTCAGGCCCTTGTTGTTGGCCTGTGAGGCAGCAGCAACCACCGTGGCCCAAGGCGGTCATGAACTTTGCTTTTACCCGGTCTTTAAGGACATCCTCCTTATAAGCCACACTCAGTACCCTCCACTGGCCTCGGCGGTCACCAGCTGCCCATTGCTGGGGCATACCTCTGCTGGTTCTGGCTTTGGGGAGGTGTCTTAGTCCATTTTCACTTCCTTAACAAAACAGCACAGACTGGGTGGCTTATAAGCAACAGAAATTTATTTCTTACAGTCCTGGAGGTTGGAAGTCCAAGATCAAGGAGCTGGCAGATTCAGGATCTGGTGAGGGCCCCTTCTTGATTCATAGACAGATGTCTTCTCGCTACGTCCGTTGTGGAAGATCCAGGGAGGACTCTGGGGCCTCTTTTATAAGGGCACTAATCCCCTCCACGAGGGCTCCACCCTCATGATTAATCACCTCCCAAAGGCCCCACCTTCAAATACCATCACATTGGATATTCAGTTTCAACATATGAACTTGGTGGGGTAAGGGGAACACAAACATTCCATCATCACCAGGAAGGGTGGGCAGCAGAACAGAGTCCTGCTGGTGGGCAACAGGCTTCCTGCACACCCAGCCCTGCCTGTGGAGTCCACTTGGGAAGGCTCCTGCTTCTCTAGGCTCAAGGGGAAAGACAGCAAAGGGCCTCCAGGGGCCATTGTCAGCTAACAAACACCAGATGGACATGTTGCTGACTGCTGTCTTCTCAGTGGACACTGGACAAGAATTCTGCAAGGGGAGGCCTGCCCAACCTGTGTCCTGTGAGGCTGCTCCCGTTTCTCTCTGTCCTCAGGCCTTTGGACGGGTGATTCAGTAATGTGCACGGATTTGGTCCACACACAACCATCTTTCTCTTTGCTGACCTTGAATCTAATACAGTTTGTTTTATGTATGGCTCAAGGTGGGCTCTCAGCCTCCTAACCCCCATCTCACTTTATGTCCGAGGAAGGCAGAGTTCATTTGGTGATAACTTCTCCTGGCTCTGCAGAGGCACCTGCAGCAAATTCCATCAAGATTCCACCTCAGTCTCAGGGTTTAGCTCCGAACTCTCATTGCCTAGGCCCTGGGGGTGAGACAGATCCTGTGGTCCCCACCGCAGCCTCATCCTGCCACCCGCTTCACTCAGGAGGAGCCCCCAGCAGAGCTGCTGAGGCCATCACCAGAACAACTGACAGCTGTTAGGAGTGTGGTTTTTCAATCTCGGTTCGGGAGAGAACATGGATTTTCGAACACTTAGGTTCATTGTGTTGTTGCAACCTGGAGCTGAATAACGACATTCAGTGCCGAGGCTGCAGTTCTCAGATTCCCACTGGGAGGCACGTTGCTCCGATGCCCACTGAGCTCCGGGTTTGCACGTCCTCTGAAAGCTTCCAGATCTGACTCTGGTGCTGAGGGAGAAAGGAAGGTGCAGCACACGGTGAGTGATTCTTCCTCCTGCTGCTGTGAAAGCCTCAGATGCTAACCAGAGAGATTTCCCAGACCCCCAAGTTGGTTCACAAAATTGATTTTCTTATCATTTGCAGAGTGCTGTATTGGGTGTTAATGGGGAAATACAAAACGTTACCAAGAGACTGGCCTCTGTCTAAGGATGTAATAATCACATTGGAGATGAGACACATAACAGGCTGAAGACCACCCATTGTAACATACTGACCAATGGTGATTAACAGTGTATACATTGAATGTATCTAGAGAGAAAGAAAGAAAAGGCTGGGTTTTTTGTTTTGTTTTTTGGTGTTTTTTTTTGCAGTACGCGGGCCTGTCACTGTTGTGGCCTCTCCTGTCGCAGAGCCCAGGCTCAGCGGCCATGGCTCACGGGCCCGGCCGCTCTGCGGCATGTGGGATCTTCCCGGACCGGGGCACGAACCCGCGTCCCCTGCATCAGCAGGTGGACTCTCAACCACTCCGCCACCAGGGAAGCCCAAAATTCTGGTTTTGAAAGGAGAAGGATGTAGATGGAGAAAGAGGCGAGAGTTATCAGGAAGACAAAGCAGACATGCATCACAAACCTCCTGCTTAGATTAGAACCATAAAGTATCCCAAGGCCACTTTCCTGAAATGGCACATCACCCTTTACCCTCTAACAAACCTAGCCATTTCATAAGCTCTGAGTGTGTGTGTGTGTGTGGTGGTGGTGGAGGTGTGTGTGTGTAAAGGAAGGATCTAATTAGCAGAGGGTGAATGGAATATTTAAATACTTGCCGGGGGAGGAGGCCAAAATGGCGTGAGGTCCATGAAAGCACTCTGCGTTCCCGTTCCAGCCTGTTCGTGCCTGGCCTGCAGAGACAGCAGCTGAAATGTGCCACAAATTAGCAGAAGGGTGGTTTGCTTTTAATGTGTGTAATGCTCAGGCTTGCGAGGGAGTGGGAAGTACGAAGGGTTCTGCGCACCTCCAGAACTGCGTTAGAGCCGACCCATCTGGAAATGCCATGGCTCTGGGACCCTGAGTCCCAGGAGAGCAGGTGCAAGTTTCCATTGTTAATGGTCGACTCACAGTTTGTGTCTCCTCTTGTGTCTGCCAGGCGGAAGTGTGTGCTGGAACCGTGGCAGAGGTGATCCAGTCTGTGGTCAACGGGGCGGATGGCTGTGTGTTCTGTTTCGGCCACGCCAAGCTGGGTCAGTGAGAGCTTTACTTTTTCATGCTGCTTGCTGGATTTCCCAATCACTTTATCCATTCTTCTGTATTGTACCCAGAGTCCTCGGATGAAGGGAAAGGTGGTTTCCCGCAGGTGCTGAATTGAATAATCATGAATAACCATTTCTGCTTCTGAAATATAGATGCTCATCCTAAGTGGATTCCCAGTCATCTAGGAAAGCCTTAGAGTCCACGAAATGCACAAAGGGAGTAGTGGGGTTGTTCCCACTCGGTCCAGGTCAGGGTCACGCCCAGAAAGCCAGCAGGAAAATTACATTTCCTGAGCAGGGGTTGCTGGGGAGCAGAGAGGACTCCCCTTCCCCAGAGGACCTGGGTTCAACATAATGCCAGAGGAGCAGCCACCAAGCAAAGGCCAGACCACATTAGCACCTGTCTGGGGAGATCAGTCTGCCAGCATCCTTGCTTCCCACCACCCAGCTGTCGGGAATCCACCTGTGCTGAAGCACCTGGGAAAGGCGGCCGCCACACACCTCTGTGAGGGTTTGATGACTGAATCCCCTTGAAGTGCCTTCTTAATCCTGACCTGTGGCCATCTGCTCACCAGGTCTCACTTTACATGCTTGATAAGTTAGTAATTTGGCGAGTTCCAAAAAGTGTCCCTGGGCAGAGCTTCCAACAGCAGCTTTGCAATGATGGAGCCAGTTCTAGGCCAGGTCGGAAAGCCCATTTCATCTCACTGCCACTTCGGTCTTCCTGATCTCTGATCAAAGCAGTGACCCAGATTTTAATGGAATTTGCCCATGCAAAATATACACAGCATTTAACTTGAAAAAGGATATAAAGTGTAAGTATGTGGAGTGAATCTGTGGGGTGGTGATAAAAAGAACCATATCAGTGATGAAAGGCTTCTGCCTTCCCACCATGAGAAAAACAGTATGGAAACTGGATAGCTTGTAATGTTTGAGATCCTCTCCTCAAGGTCAACTGTGATTTAATCTTGTCATTAGTTGGGGCTCTCACATTCTTTATTATAGCTATTCCATCAATAGTACTTGGAAATGTCAAATGTTTAATATTTCTCTCACCTTTTCCTTTCCTTTCTTCCCATTCCCCACTCCCCATGCCTTTCTTCTGCATCCTTGGCATCTATTCTTGAGACTATAGAATGATGCCTGGACACTCAAGCTGCTTTTCTTTCTTTCCTCGCTCTCCCAGGAAAATCCTACACCATGATCGGAAAAGATGATTCCATGCAGAACCTTGGCATCATCCCCTGTGCCATCTCTTGGCTCTTCAAGCTGATAAATGAACGGAAAGAAAAGACCGGAGCCCGTTTCTCAGTGCGGATCTCAGCCGTGGAGGTGTGGGGCAAAGAAGAGAACCTTCGGGACCTGCTGTCGGAGGTGGCCACGGGCAGCCTGCAGGACGGCCAGTCTCCGGGCGTGTACCTGTGCGAGGACCCCATCTGTGGCACGCAGGTGATTGCTTCTGGGGCTTGGCTGGCTCCAAGGTGGCTCATCCCTACCTCGGTAGCTGGGGCAGTTCACCTCATGACTCACTCAACATGCAACCGGGGGAGGCTTGCAAGTGTTTACTTTAAAGTGGACTGGAACTTTATGGCCTGCAGCTGCAGGGCAGCTGCTCGCCCAACCTAAATATTTGTACCTTGAATCTAATTGACAATGAACAGGAACCACAGTTGTTGTAGCATTTGGGGGAAATTGAATTCACTTTCTTTACGCCCCTTTCAAAACAAAAAAGAAAATACCATCTTTCTTTTGTTTAGCAACAAGCGGAAATGTTTACTGCTTTGCACAAATAGCTCCAGCCATTACTGGGGCTGTTTATGGCTCTATAAACTGTGTTTCTGGCACTGGTTTACAGCCGGACTAGTAGTGCTGTAGGAAAAACTAATAACCACTTTCTAATTGGAACCATGATATAATTGCTGGAACCATGGAAGCCAAGAGAAGTTCCAGTTCGCCTTTGTCATGCCTGTTGGGAGTGTTTCTCCCTCGCTGTTTGACAGTAGAGGTGGGAATGACCTGGGAGGACCCTGGTTCATATCCAGAATAATCCGGTTTTCCAGTCTGTAGCTATAGGCTCTCTTTTCTCGTTTTATCAGACGCCTCCTTTTTAGATAGGTGTTCATTTCGATAAGCACCTGCCTCACCCCAGGTGCGACTGTTTTCTCGGGGGAGGATACCCACTCTGTTACACCCATCTCCTCACACCTGGCCATGTTCCTCCCCTGCTTAGAGCACCTCAGATCCTTCCACTTCCATTATGAATCCTCGTGGTTCGCAAGAGGCCCTACACAACCTGACAGCATCACCTGCAACCACTCCCCTGCTGCCACTCCTCTTAGATTACAGTTAGATCCCCTAAGAAAGCAGTGCCCCTCAAACTTCAGTGTGCATAAGAAGCACTGGTGATCTTGTTAAAATGCAGATTCTGGTTCCATAGGTCTGGGATTGGGCCTCTGATGACGCATTTCTGACGACCTTCCCAACGACTGACCACACTTTCAGTAACAAGGCTCTAAGGCACCAACCATCCTCCCTCTTTTTATTCTGGGCCTGTGAACATCCTGTTCCCTGTGCACAGAAGGCTGCTGACTCCTCTCCTCTCGCTCTTCATCTGGCTAACTCCTTTTTTGTTGGGTATCAGCTAGTTGACACTTCTTCCAGGAAGCCCTCTTAGATGTTTCTCCTGACTGTCGATTGTGATTGCCTGGTTAGTTCTCAGCAACTCCCAAAGGTCCTTACCATGTCGGACTAAAATTGGCTCTTCATAGTTTTGACAGATGCATCAGATACCATTTGGATATGAAACCTAATTAGAATGCAAACTAAGTGGTCATACAGACATTCATCCAGTGGCTCTCAAACTTCAGTCTTCATCAGAGTCACCTGGAAGACCTGCTAAAACACAGACTGCTGGGCTCCACCTCTAGAATTTCTGATTCAATAGGCCTGGGATGGAGCCCTCACATGCGCATTTCTCAGCACCTGTGATGGAATCAGTGTCACCCTACCCACTGCCCCCACTCCAAGCATTACTTAGACGTTCAAATATGCTATAACCTCCATTCACTTTTATAACTCCATTAATGAAGTTCCAGTGGCGAAAGCTCTGGTTAACTGAAGATGAAGAAAAAGAGGAAGAGGCCAACATCCTCTTTACCTTCTTGTTGAAGAATCTTAAACATTCTTTGGGTTATCTTTTCTGTGATAGTAAGTATGAAACAACGAGCACCACAGAACCTCTCTGAAGGTTGAGGATTTTGATGGTCTCAGGTTCCAAATATCGACTCTCATGATTCAGAATTATAGATACAGTTAGAGTCAGAATAGAAGACTGTCAAAATTTGACCCTAAGGCACATACTGCAAATCACTCCTTTGAATAAATCAGAAATATTAGTTTACTTTTCTTCCCTCCCACCCCCAGTAAAGGAGTGCTGGTCAAATGCCGATAATATTGCTCTGAGTAAGGTTTACTGTAATTACCAAGGCATCTCATAGGATTTAGACACGTTGCCCACAGTGCTTCTTTAATGAATTAATGACTATGCCATGAACATGAATTTAGCAACTAAAGATAAAATAGATAGCCCTTAAATGATATAGATGAGACGTTCAAGTATCTTGGGTGTTTTCATATGTCTTTTGCACTTACTTCTTATGTCTTTTACACTTACTTCTTATTTATAACTATGCTAGTAAATGTGGCCTAAAATTGGCTCTAATTAAATAGCTAGGAAAATTGAGAATTGAGTTAAAGCTAACTAAGTTTTTTCACTTCTTTGTGATACCAGTACTATCTGGACTAAAATCACACTTTGCAACCCACCTGCTTCTAAACACTCTAATCTTTGAAATCAAGATGCAGTCACATCCCTCATGTTTTCTTAGGTACATGGATTGCCCAGGATGTTGGTTTGCTGGCCTCTGCGGAGGTCAGGGTGGGACACCTGCCCCCATGGATCACCCAGATACAACCATTTGCTTTTCACACCTGATACTTACAGATTCTAATTCAGTTGTAAAATGGGTGAAAATATGTTTCATCCAATAAGCGTGCTCAGTGTTACTTTTCAGATATGAATAAATTAAGCTGAGAATTGCACATGGATAGAGGCCCTGGTTCCAGAAGGACGTCCAGCCTTCAAGAATGCGGAACGGACAGCCAGCCCCGAGTGGCAGGCAAACTGCCCGCCTGCAGCTTCAGTCCTTCCCCTGTGTCTTCCAGCTGCAGAACCAGAGTGAGCTGCGGGCGCCCACTGCAGAGAAGGCCGCCTTCTTCCTGGATGCTGCCATAACCTCCCGGCGGGGCAGCCAGCAGGACTGCAACGAGGACGACCTCCGCAACTCCCACATGCTCTTCACGCTGCACATCTACCAGTACCGCATGGAGAAGAGCGGCAAGGGGGGAAGTAAGTCGGCCTCTGCCCTCGAGCCTCCTTGGCCCCCCCGGGAGAGAAGCCTCTCCTCGAGGGCAGCTGTGACCTTTTTGTTTGTTTGTTGTTTTGGGTTTTGTTTTTCTTTTTTGCGGTACGCGGGCCTCTCACTGCTGTGGCCTCTCCCGTTGCGGAGCACAGGCTCCGGACGCGCAGGCTCAGCGGCCATGGCTCACGGGCCCAGCCGCTCCGCGGCATGTGGGATCTTCCCGGACCGGGGCACGAACCCGTGTCCCCTGCATCGGCAGGCGGACTCTCAACCACTGCGCCACCAGGGAAGCCCTGTAACAGAATTTGATCCACAGTTCTCCTAACGATCTGGGAGCTGGCTTTAAATCCTGCCTTCACTGATTTTTCTGAGTTATGTCTTAGCAGCATGAATGTGGGAATCTGAAAAATGTTTATTTTATTCTTTTAAGGTACCAGTCATGATCATAATCAAAGCCCGCAGTGGATTCTTGTACTCTCAGCAAAGGGTGACTTGCAGAAGATCTGATCCTGGAGCCAAATGGCTCTGAGCAGAAAAGCTCAGGAGGGAAGGATAATCCCTCCCTCTAGGTTTCTAACCAAGTTAAAACAACTTGCTTTCAGGTTTTCACTTTCTTTCATGGTTCTGCTTTCAATATGGAATCTGAAAGTAGAGAGGAATCTTGAAAACAAAGAAACAATTAAATTATTTCAACTATAAGAACTTAACGTATAGCTTCCACAAAAGCGTAGGCTGGGACATTCCCTAAACCCAACAATCCACCCAAGTCCTCACCTAACAAATCCTGGGCACTTATTAAATATTTAACATCAAATTCATTTTCTTCCTATTTATAAATTGTGAAAGTGAATGGCTTTTAAATAATAAGTTCAGGTTAAAAGACAAGGCAGATGCTGTTAATGGCCTCCAAAACCTAGTGAGGTACTTTCTAACGTATCTGTAGATGAGAACAAAGAAAAGGCAGGCATCCAGGCTGATGTAGGTGTTAGCCCCGAAGGACCTGGGGGCATCACCTGCCTGCTACAGTACCTGGCTTCCAGTGAGGAAGGGAATCCAGGCCAGAATGCACACAGCCTCCTAGCCCACGGCTTGCTTGACTCAGTGCCTTTATATCTGTTTAAAATATAATGAGGAGATTTGGAGTGTTGTTTAAAACGGAAATTTTGTTTACTTATATATAAGCAATAATCCCTGTGGACCTGGCAGCCAGAACTCCATTAAGGAAAAGTTTATTAATTAGTCCCCCTGCAGGGAAACAGAGCAGAGCAAGCTGCTGGTAACTGGCCATTAGAGGCCAATGAAGATGCTGGATTCAAAGAGGTCTCTGATGCAAGAAGTAAACACACCATGTGTATGTGGGCACCTGGAGCTTATACACATATATGCGCTTTATAAACACACACGCACATACACATATGCACATATAAGTGGACAGACAAAAATGTTTACAACATGTCCAGGCAAGGTAGAAAAGAAAATTCTGTGTGGATGTATCACTGCTTTGCAGATAGCACTAGGTTAAGCTTAAAATATTCCCTGCTTTAAACATTTTTGGAGCATTAGTGGGGCTGATTCTTCACCTGTCGTGGAGCCTTCCCCTGCTTTGCAAAGCTATGTTTGTAAAGGCTTGAGATTCCCCTTGGGAATTGCAGCAATGGGGAAGGGACCCTAAAACCATGACAGTCAGGAGGTGCTCCTCATAAAGATGAGTGAATTAGCAGTCCAAAGCCAGATGCTACGAGTGATACTGCAGTGGAATACGTTCACAATACAGAATTTTCCAAGTCCTATTGATTAAGATGTGGTTTTTTTGTTTGTTTTTTGTTGTTTTTGCGGTACGCGGGCCTCTCACTGTTGTGGCCTCTCCCGTTGCGGAGCACAGGCTCCGGACGCGCAGGCTCAGCGGCCATGGCTCACGGGCCTAGCCTCTCCACGGCATGTGGGATCTTCCCGGACCGGGGCACGAACCCGTGTCCCCTGCATCGGCAGGCGGACTCTCAACCACTGCACCACCAGGGAAGCCCTTAAGATGGTTTTTAAAAGCCTCACTTTGATGAGTAATCTAAGCTTGCAAGCAACTGTTGCCCAGGGCTAAGAATGACACTAGGTCTCTGATTTGTTCATTCACGTTATTGCCTCCAGGGGAAGTGTAGAGGCCAAGCGGGGACTGGGCTGTGTGTGTGTACCTGTGTACCAGCACCCGGGCATCCGTCTGTGTGTGTGCACATGAACCACCGTGTGAGGACGTGGACATTCATCTCTGCCTGCACTCATCTGTTTACAAGTCTTAATCTTGGTTTTCTTTTGACCACCAAACCCCTCTTTCCTATATCTTGGAATGCCTTGAATCAGCTGATGCCCTATCCAGGGCTGTGCTGTCCATAGGACTCTAGAGATCCATTATTTGGGTGGTAGATGTAGGAAAAAGGATCTAGGAAGGAGCATTGCTTCTAAATGATGCAGAACCGGGCCTCTGCTGTCCCTAATTGCAAAGCCCTGTGCAGCGAGGATGGCCATACATGGTGGGGCTACTTTAGGGCTCTCATGTTCCCCTTGGTCAACAGTGAAATGACAGTTTGATGTTTTTAGATTTTTTGTAATACAATTTTTAAAATATTTGGCCAGGAGACAATTTTCCAAACTGTGCAGTGTGGAATTCCCACAGTGGTCTCTCATGGCCTTCCCACCACCTGCATCAGAGCAGCAGTTCCCAACCTCCTCTTGAAGCCTGAGACCCCTGCTCTACCTCTTTCAGCAGATAGCCAGCTTCCTGTTTAAGGAGAAGAAAGTCAGTCTGGCTATGACCTCGGCTTCTGTCCTCTTAGCATCCAAACCTCCTTGTCCCTGTACCTCACTTTCCCCCACTCCTTTCCCATAGGTCTGCTTCCTCCCATCTCCTTGCCTTCCTTATCCTTTCCCCTTCTGCCTTTTCTGGGACCCCACCAATTGGGACCCCATCAATCGTCTTTTTGTGCTTTTATTTTCAGTCTCTCCTACCACTGAAGTCAGGGCTGTCTTATCTTGGAAGGAAGGGAAAGGAAGAAACAATAACGTCAACAATAAAAAAACCTTTTCTGTACCCTACTACCCCCTTGAGCTGCCTCCCCATAAGTCTTTCAGATTCTCCCCTCTGTGGAATATCTTTCTTCTTTAAGTCCCATAGCAATTTGGGGGATGTTAAGCCACTGCCTTACTCACCTTATATCTCAGTCATTCTGGGCTTTCTAAGCCCCATCAGACTACAGGCTCCCTGAGGACAGGGTCCCCTGTCATCTGGCCCCCTGTCCTCCACACCTAGAGGTGTGCCTGCACATCAGACCTTACATGTCACACCACATGAAATGTGTGCTGTATATTAAACAGTGAGTGAATTTCTTGATTACGTAGTTGCAGCTGTTTCAGAAAGAGAGCGACCATTCAATTACTTTTTGGGTAAGCAGGTGGTGTGAGTTCACAGCCCTGTTACACAACACGGTCAGAAGGAGTTATCAGTTAACGAGAAAGTTAAGTTAAAAAGGGAAATCATATAAAAGGATACATTCACGTCTTAAAACACTTTCAGCTTAAAACATACAATTGTGTGTTTATTCATTGGTCTTCTGATACAGGGCCATGGCTTTCTCTTTGAGATGAGTTTTCAGCTTTAGATTCTGACTTTTATAAACCACATTCATATTAATAATAGTCTGGTTTTTGCTTTCAATTTCTTCTGAGCGATGGAAGAACTTAAGAGACACTTGTGCAGCTAACTGGGTATAGACTTTCCCTAGATTCTTAAAATTTTTTCTACTCTGTAATTTCTCATTCACACCTGATTCAGCATCTTTTTTCAAAAATTAACTCATTTTAATCACATCTTTCCAAAGCATTGATTTCAGGGTTTTTTTTTAGAAATATTAGCTCTCTTTACATAATCATATTTTATTGGTTTACATAATATTTGATTATATTTTTATTTATAATATCAAGTATAAGTGGCATAATTAGGTTTAGGAGGAAACCCAGCTGACCTGTTGATAAGTGTACAGCTCATGTTTTTGGTGCAAAAGTGCATAGACAAACTGGGAACAGCCAGCACACCTCACAAGCATACAATGTGCTGTGGGCATCAGGCAGCGTGCCTGACACAGCTGACGGAAGGCCTTGGTTAACCTGGCCAAGTGGCAGGACCATGGTTTCCAAACTTTGCTGCACAAGAGAATCACCTGGGGAGATTTTCAGCTAATCCCAGTGCCTGTGTTGTACTCCAGACCAATTACATTAGAAAGCCTGGGAGTGGGAGCCAGGCATCCATATTTTCTAAAGATTCCACGGTGATTCTGATATGCAGCAAAGTTTGGGAACCACTAAGTTATAGGAAAGTGAGTTAAAAGAGTTTCTACATGCTTTATAGTTAGCTCTGGATTTTTGTCTTAGATTCAGCATCTATTTTCTATGAGATCTTAAGTGATTTATTTAGCATCTGTGAACCTCAGTTTCCTCATCTGTGTAAAATAGTGCCAATTCTTGCACTACAGGATCATTGTAGGAATTAAGTGATTTTAGGAGAATTTAGCATTTCCTGGCACCATGAACATGAGCTGGGAGAGTCACTCAGGAGTGAATTAGTATATTGTTTCCTGTGGGAGAGTAAGGCATGTGGGTAATTTCATTTGGTCAAAGTCCAGACTTGAAATACACATATTCAAATATAAATAGTCTCAAGGCAGACTGGGTTATGTTCTAAACCTTGAAGCTGTGACCTCAGAAATCTGAAAAGTCCATGAGGAACCTGCTTCTTACCTGCCATTAATTATCACCTATTTTGTTCATTGATTCTAGAACTTCTTTCTCTCCAGCCACCTGCAGTAATGGAAATTCATGGTCACAGCAGGTGGCCTGTGCTCGCTCACTTTGTACCATTTCAGATTTAGCACCATGTGTGAAGTTCAGAATTCTGTGACTACTGAAACTCCAGTGGAAATAGAGCAAAGTTGATTTTCCATTG